GCATTCCTGTTTGGAGCTTTTTCACATCTATGATAAGAATAGGAGAAAAAGAAGAAAGAGGAGCAGTGCTCTAAAGCTTGGCTAAGAGACCTCTTGGGAGATAGTTCTCACTCTTTCTTCTTTTTTTAGTTTATTTTTCGATCTATCCATGAAGACTGTGGTGCTCAGGGTGACCCAGGCAGGGAGTGATTTTTGCCAGTGCACCTGGGGCCAGATGCAACCACAGTGGCGATGGGGCAAGGAAGCAGATTGCACAGTGGCTCGATCATGCTATGGAGGTGACCACAGCTTGCTCAATGCCTTGACAATCACCCCACTTTATCCCTAAATTATGAACCAGAAGATGGTTCCATCAGCTGGTGTGAGAGACACCCATTCTTTGGGCAGCATAAGAGGTGACACAAAACAAGTTTTGAAGGTGTCAAAAATAGCCATGAGATAGGATTTGGTTAGAGTTGGATCAGTGTATATGATGAGAAAGAGTATTAGAATTAAATATTCAGCTTTGAAAAATAATTCTCATTCCCCCTTTTGTCAGGATTGCTTTCTGAAAGTATAGGATGCCCCTGTAATTCACCTGTTTCAATTCTGCTGTGTGCCATCAGCTGCAAAATTCAGACAGGACACATGGAAATGGTGAATTGCAATCTGCAGGTGTGTCTACAGTCCGAAATTCATGTTCTATTCATTTTTCAGTGGCTGAGTTTGCAACTCACGTGTCATATACAAAGGTTTATTTCTGTGGCTGCAGCAGAAATTGTCTTTCCTTATAAATATTTGCAATTCGTAGTTCTAATAAGCCATGGTTTGGAATATCATTCATTGCAAAGACTTGGGAATCATTCTGAATAATGAGTGGATAGGAGAATTTACAATGAGAGCTCAACTAACATGCAAAAATTAGTACAATAATTAACTGCAGTAAATAGGGGCTTTGGATGGATGCAGCATGTGCTCAGGAGCTCTGTGAACCAGGAAATAAAAGCAAAATGCCATAATCATCTGAAAAATCCTGTCTTCCCCTTTAAACATATTACTTGCACATCTTTTGTCATGCATAGGTATTTATTCAACACAAACCAACAAACTCATGCCTTCATGACTCATTAAACTCTCATACTGCACAAGTGGATGGGAACCCAGACCGGCATTGTTTGAGTATTTGGATAAAACAAGTTCTGTCATTTTGCCACATCGAAGATGATGACATTGGGTAAAATATATCTGAGCAATGACCAGAGTAAACAAACCCTGAGACCTTTGGGTCAAGGAGGTCACTTTGGTGTATTCCCTGTTCCCTGGCAGAAGTGCACTGCTCAGCACAGTGCAGTGGATTAGTCCCTTCAAGGAAAGCTACCATGAGTGGTTTATTTACTCATCTGCCATCACAGAGAGGTCTCCTCATACAAGCCCGATGCCAATTTTATTTCTCCAAAGTAAAACGCACCCTGATTTTCTTTTCAGAAGAGTCAAGAGAAACAAAGTGTTTACAACTTTAGCAACTCAGCGACTTAACAGATCCGTTGGAATAAAAATAATTCCACTCTGATTGTAAGGAGGAGAAGGTCAGAGCTGCTGTGGAGCAGAGGAAGCCCCTCCCGGCACGTGCATGCTGTGAAGTGTTGGCTGGAATTTGAGCAGAGACTCATCACAGCTCCCATGGTGCTCGCGTGGTACAGGGAGCTCCAGGGGTGCCCTGTGCACCTTCTGCCCCAGCTCTGCACAGCCAGACCCTCCTCTTGCAGGGCTTTGACAGGTGGGATTGGCAGGAGGGTGAGGGATGGAGGGTGAATTTGCACCTTGGTTTGGCTTTGTGTTGCCATTTCCAGTCCATAAAGGCAGAGGTGGGTGCTCTTCCTTTCTCCTGGCCTTTTGCTGGCCCAGAGCAGAGGAGATTGTGGGCCAGAGGCCACCACGTGCGGGTGGGATGGATGGTCTGATGGTGTTGCATTGCTTTATGTACCTTTAAAACAGCGAGTAAGTTAGAGACTTTCACCTCCTGTTGATGAGGTAGCTTTTCACAAAGATGATGAGCCATCCTGAAATCCACCTGGCTTTGCAAGGCTGCCAGCTCAGAGCCCCGTCTCCCCTTGCTCCTGGGGTCTGCCTGACACCCTCATGTGCAGGTCCTGCACCCAGCTGAGCCTGGGTGCTGCCTGCAGCAAATACACATCAGGATGCCCAGGCACCCATTGCTGTGGAAGCAAAACAATTTTTGTGTTTTTAAAGATTATTTTGAATGATCATGCTTTTTCAACAACTTTAATTTCATGAGATCATTAACTTCATCAGTGCTCAGTCCCCTCCTCACAGGTCACCTCCTGGCTGGTCAGGTGTTCCTGTGCCACCACGCACTGTCCCCTTCTCCTGTGAAGTCACCCCACGTTTGGTGGCTGTGGTGTAACAAATCCTCTGGGTGTTTCCGAGCTCCTAGGCTCAGAAATGGCTTCACAAGGTGGACTGAAGAGTACTGTGGTTTCCCTGCCCTCCTGAGCAGTGAGCACAGGCTGAGTCGCGCAGCAGGTTCGGTGCCTGGTGTGGGTCATTTCCCCGGTGTTCACAGGGCATGGATGGGGTGGAGATCCCGTCCCGCCTGCCGTGGGGGGACTTTGTGGGCTGCAGATGTGGCTTGACTCTGAAAACACAGAGGTTAGTTGCTCAGAGCTGCTTTCTGATGGAACTGGGAGGTCTGTCTCGAGGATCTGGGTTTAAAAGTAAAATATCTCCTCCCGTTCTGCCTCCTCCTTTCTTCTTATCTCTTATCCTTCCTTAGGCACTAAGACAGCCACAGAGATCGCAGAACTTCCAGAGGCAGAATAACACGCTTGCTGCCACGGGTTGGAGAGCCTCGACAGCTCCCATCGCTCCTCTGCAGCCGCAGGCTGGCTCAGCAGTGGGGCTTGCACAGCCCGGCTTCCAGCCAACGGCCTCCCTTCTCCAGCTCTCCTGAGGCCGTCCCTTGGTGTTCTGCGAGCCCAAAGCTCTCCCATCATGGGGGCTGCATCGGCAAAGGTGCCTTTGGCCTCAGTTGGAGGGGACACACCTTTGTCATGGCATTTTCCCGCGGGACAGAGCGGTGGCCGCTGGCTCTGACAGTGGCGTTGTGGAGGAAGGAGGGCAGCGAGCACAGGGGCAGGTCAGGCACAGCTGGGACAACATCTCAGCCCTCCGTGCTGTAGTCCCTAAAATCCGTTTCAGTAGCAGCAGAGAAGAGTCTGAGCCCAGGTCTGCTGCTACCACATGATGAGAAATGTTTGTCTCCCCTCTGTTTTCTCTCTTCCTCTCTCATATATGTGCACACCGTCACGGAGACAACTAATTGTGTAACCCAGAGGGAAGTTCTTTCTGGACAGGAGGAGATGCTTAGAGGCTGTTTCAGGGGGTGTTACACCATGCTCTGTGATGTTGGAAAGAGGACGGTGCGCGAGGGCTGCAGAGAGAACCTGGGATTCAGCTGCAGGCGGCAGCAGCAACCAGCCGGGATAGACAAGGAAGGGCTTAAGTGCTGCTTTGGAAAAACAAGACGTGAAAGAAAATGAGATATTTCAGTACATGCACAACTTTTCTTGGACAAACTCACAAAAGACTGATCTGCAGCTGGCCCAGAAGCGAAGGATTTAAGGTTTGAATTCAAACTCAAAAAAAGTGTCTTGTGACTGCCCTCAGCTTCAAAACCTGC